TACGGCATGCAAGACAAGAAATCGAATGACAAGGTAAAAAAGCTTTTTTTATTATCCTCTCGAAGATCTTTACAAGGGCTTGAACTTTCTTGGCTATTGTGTGTGAGTGGTTGTTACACAGTGATCTCGTGTGTGAATCCAGTGTCCATCCCCCCCATTGTGTGTTGATTACAGCTTATTTATAATCTAGAAAAAAACCTATTTTTTAGAGTTCTAATATGATTACAACACTGATTCTTGTTATCTTCGTGAGTTGTGTTGGCGAGATTGGTGTTGCAACTACTGCAAGGGAAACGTGAAGGACAAGTCTTCGACGCGGAGGAGTCTATAGAGGAAACGGCGTTGCTGGTGAGGGTGTGCTAGGGAAGATGGGCCACAGTTAGGCCTAACGAATTGTAAAGGCCTGTTACAGAAATGTAAATGTATTAGTTTTGAAATAATAATAATACTCATATATTATAATGCATAATATCAATATATATAAAATGTGTGTCTACACCCTTATATTTGATTAAATAGTATTTTAATTTTTAATTTGTTTTAGCATTTTGACACCTAATATTTCATTTTAAGATAAAATACATTTATTTTAGAGCATTAACCGTTTATTGATTATTTACTTCCATTGATAGAATAATCTTTTTGTCCCAAAATAAAACCTTATGGTTAAAATACTTGAAAGATGTAATCCAAAGTTACTATTTAATCAGACATACGATAGAGTCATTTTTTATCATTATACCATGCAATGTTTGGGTAAACTACATATTTGATCACCCCTCTATTACTTGGTTTCTGTTTTATTCACCCAACTATTATTTTAAAAAAAATCATACATAATGCTATGTTTTGTTCTATTTTGATCACCTGTCTTTAAAAAAATTAATGGTGATGCTGACGGTCATCATAAGATAATGTCACGTTAGCATTGAAAAATAAAAATATACCATATCAGCATCATCATTTCTAATGACTCACATTTAAGAATTCATCCCTTCAATTTTTGTGGATAACTGCGGATTCCGGGAAAGTCTAAAAAAGTAACCTAATTTAGGGTTAATATATAATGAAAATACATGCAACTGAAAATATTATTGAAAATTATAATATTTTAGAATTAAATTTAATATAAAAGTTATTTTTTAATAATATTTATAGTTGAATCTAAAATGTTACAAATAATATAACATTTTTTATTATCAATAAAAAATATTATGAAAATATTACGAAGAATATAACATTTTAGACTCTGTTTAACTTAAAATGTTATATTTTTTTATAATATTTTTTTATCGCGTCTATCTCTTAAATTATCAGGTTGTACCACATAATTGTTTGCATATTCCTCTTCCTTTTTTTCAAAGATGAAAGAACACTTTTATTGAGGCAAAATGTCAAAATTAGCCTTCATGTTTATTAAAATAATTATTTCGACTCTTATATTTTTTTATAATATTTTGACTTTTAATGTTTCATTTTAGGTTAAAAATATCCCTTTTGGATGAAAATTGTTAGTTAATATACTATTAACGCTCCAAAATTAGAGCCTTTTACCCTAAAATGAAAATAGTCAAAATGCTCCCAAAAAGAAAGAATAATAGTTAAAAGTGATTATTTAGCCAAATGTTATGTGTCTTTTTGGCTTAAAATTAAATGTTGGGGACTAAAATACTTAAAAAAACAAGAATTAAAATGACCGTTTTAATAAACATGAGAGTTAATTTGGACATTATGTTTTTTCTTAACGGAGATTTTTATAATTTTAAAGGTTTTTAAAATTATATCTTATTATTATTTTGGTTTTGAAATTAATGAATATTATGTGTCGTGTGACGTGTTCCTTTGTATTGCATCACATGAATTTTTTTTTACAACGAAAAATTAGACGGGGGTAACGTGCATCGTAGTTGAAAAGTTCATGGCCAAACTGAACCAAAAAATTCTTCAAATACCAAAGTAATATTGAAGTACAGCTTCAAGGACCAAATATATCATTTAATCTTAATTTTAAGGATCAAAGAATAATTTTATCAAATTCAAGAGGTTAAAGGAAAATTTTATCATTTTATTAATAAAAGAAACTTTATAATTTCAAGGACTAATCAGACAATTTTACCAATCCAGCCCCTACTTTCGAGTCCTCCAACTTTTTTATATTAATCACTTTGGTCAGGTTTAGGTTTTTATATATGTGTATAATTATTTAAAATATTAAAACAGTAATTTTTAATTTCATTGATAATTTTTTTTTAAAAATATGTTATAATTTGAATTAATATTAAAAAAGTAAATTAAAGGCATAAAAATTTCATAATGACGTTGTCAATTCTTTGAAAAAGCTCAACTAAACCATCTATTTCTCTTGTCAAACAGATTCGTCCAATTCCTCCGACTTTGAAAAGTTGCTTTGGGTTTCTTCCACAGTCAATCGTGGTGGCGGCGCCAGCCCTCAAGGCTGGTTGCTGGCCGCCGATCCTTTTCTTTCTTTTGTTTTTCTTTCCTTTTAATAAGTATGCTTTTAGCAGCATGATCGGTTTTCGTCGCCGTTGTTACCTTTCATCGCCTCTTAGTTTGTTTTGAATGCTCCTTGGTGTTGCTATTAGATGCTGTTCAATGCCCTCTCCTATGTATGTGTATTGCGTTGTGTGGTCCTTGTTGGCACTCTAGCTAGTGGTGGAGCGGCGAAGTCATCGTTGTCGGTGAGGGGATGTGTTCTTGGTTGCAGTGTCGTTCGATGGGCCTTGTAGTCCTGGTCTGAGTTTTCTGTTAGGTTCTGTGTTTCAGGATTTGTTTCCTTTGGAAGTTCAACTATGTTGTGAGACTCGTGTTTTCATTATCGGATCCTTTGTCGATGGCGGAGCGTGGCTTGCAATCGCCGAGGTTTGGCGTCGTTTCTGTTTTCATAGAGGCATGTGCAGAAGGTTCAGGCTCCGAGAAAGGTGGTATGGGAGTTGTATAGTTTAAGACGATGAGTCAGAGAAATTTTACGATAGTGGAATGTTGGCAGAAAGTTTGGCAGAAAGGAGGTATGGGGGATATTTGGCTCTTGCTTTCTGCACATGCTGTAGGTGCCTCGGGAGCCTTTATTCTTTATGGGATTTATTTATTTTTATGTGCGTGTTTCTCCAGCTTTTTTCAGGGTCTTGACTTGAGTGGTCTGTTCGTATGGTCTGCTGATGTGTTATTCTTCGTCGGGTGGGATTGTCTCTTGTTTGTTTCTCATTGGGGCTGCTTTTGTTTGAGAGCTGGGTTGAAGTTAGATGTGTTTGTAGTGTTGTAGTATTATGTTGATGTGGTTGTGCATGATTGGTGTATTCGGTTTTAGTTGGTTGTTTGGATTCATTCTCTTGTTGCTGTTTTTGACTTTGATCAATATTGGTTGTCTTGTTGGTTCGTTTTGATCACTGCTATGCCAATCGTGGGGACGTTTTATAAGGCTGCTGTCGTCGTTTGAGCTGTCAGGTTGGGGTTTGGGATTTTTATTTTGGCCGGTGTGTGTTCCCTTATGCTCAAGATTGTTCAAAGTCTAAAGTCTTTCTTCTTAAGTGGTGGTTGAGTGTGAGGCTTAGCTAGTGGGTGTTTGTGACGCGTCTTTAGTCTTAGCTTGACAATCTAGTGTTGTAGGCTGAAGCTGTTTTGGTTACATTCTCTGGGCATTTGTTTCAGTTTCGTTGTCTCTTATGGATCTCAAGGTTTATGATTGTAAGGTGAGATAGTTGTAGTATTGCAGGAGGTTTTAGGAGGCAATAGTTCGGGTTTAAGGCTTGTCCAAGGGGATCCATTCATTGTTATGTTTGTCATAGCAGTTTTTGATTTTGTGCACAGTGGAGATCGGTTCTCGCCAGAATTTCGTTTGTTTTTTAGTTTTGATATGAAGTATCCAAAGTGGTGGAGCTATAAGTGTGGTTTTTCAGTTTCGTTGAAGCTTTTAAAGGAAGCGAATCTTGTTTTGCTTGTTTGTTTCTTGTGTTTCTGCTTTCGTTATGGCTACCCTCTTGCCTGCTGTAGAAGCAAGATCTCCCAGCTCTTGCTTCGGCATTTAGATATGAATGGCGTTTGATTCTGATTTGCAGAAGTCTTTATCTTTGTAGGGGAGTGATTGTTTGTTGAATTTATCTATTGGCGATGGGGAGATTTTGAATGATGTGTTTTGTGTGCTGGGTTGAAGATTAATGTAGTCATGGTGTTTCGTTAGTGTTGTTAGCAGATTTAGTGATATTGGTTTCTGTTGGTGTTCAGTTCCTTCCCATTGTCGTTGTGTTCGCTGTTGATCAGTTTTATGGTCGTCCTTCTCGTTCTATATTCGTTCTGTTGTAGTGTTGGTATTGGTGTTAGTTTGAGTTGTGGTGTGGTTTGGGGTATGCCTTGTGTGTTGTTACTGTTTATTCTGTATTCGATCTTTCTACATCTTGGTTCACTCTTTTTCTTTTATTTAGGGATAGAGAGGTTTTTTAATGAGGACATCGAGGTGGTGTACTTTGCAATTATTCGTAATAAAAAGTACATATCTTTCAATCATAATCACATGTCCTCTTATTCTTCATTGTCAATAGTGGACACTAAATATTACCTCACCTATGTGACTTAATAGCTACTTTAACCCCTATATTTTAATAAATTCAAATTTTTATTTTTTAATTTTTATTTTTAGTCAATCTGATCCCTCAACTATCAATTTGTTATGACATTAGTATTTGGACGATTTCTTTTTTAAAAATGACATGGCTCGATCAGGTTATGTTGAGCGTAAAAAGAAAATTAAAAAAAACATTTATTACATATCGATAGAGATTTAAATTACGATTGCGATCGTGTTTTCGATTGTGTTGTGTTTATCATAATTAAGGATATAATAAGAACTATTACGATGATTATAGATATTATAGTTATGCAATAATGATTTCAGACGATACTATTATCGTTATATAACGACATCTATTCTGATAGCATATGATTATTTAAATCCCTCATCAAAATATATACAATTCAATTATTGTTTTTCAAAATTCAGCTGGCATCATCAACTGGTACACATCTAGTTCAAATTCATTTCTAATCGAACAGTTAACCTCATCCTTTCTCCATTTCGACTTCGGAGTCTGGTCGTCCAACGTCAATGTCGATGACGGAGACTGAGTCGATGAACAAGAAGAGAAAGATGGCTGTGGAACTCTACGCTTGTTATCGGTCACTCTCACCAGCGCCACCTGATCGAAGCCGATGAGGTGGGGAAAATTAAGCTTGGCTTTCGAACCTCGCATTTTAAAAGCCGCTCTGTCATAAGCGAGTGCGGCATCTTCCGGAGTCTCGTAAGTACCAAGCCAGACCCTCGCTCCCTTCCGCTTCAGATTCCTTATCTCCGCCGCGTATGTCCCCCACGGCCTTCTCCTTACTCCCTTATAATGTACCTTCTTCGGCGGCGCGTGGGGATTCTCGACAGTCGCAGTCGTAGATTTTTGAGAAGTTATTTCGAAGCTGGGGAATATCGGATTATTAACAGAGACCTTCTCCTCCGGTGCATCAGACAACTGATCAAAGTTTATCCATTGATCGACAATAATCGCATCATCAACATCCGGTAGCTCATTTTTCACTAGGTTTCCCGCAGCATTTCTAGGAATGAATGTATCGAAATCATCTTCCAGAAGATGCCGACGAATGGATTCCAAGAGGCTGAGATCAAATTCTGAAGCACTACCGCAGTACATATTTGGGTGTTGTTCTTGTTCTTGGAGACTGAGCCCAGAAATAGGATTTGAACTGAATGGTTTTGTTGGTTGAGTTCTTCATATTCGTTGTTAGATTACATATATACCTTCGAACTCTTATTATTTTATCTCTGGTTTTCTTTTTTGTTTGGTAAAATGCACCATTCATCTCTGAACTATATTATATCTCCTCATCGTACTTTCAACTTCGTACTTTCAACTTTTTATTCACTTATTCACTAACTTGATCTGAATTGATCCTGTTTTGATCACTCTAAATTATTTTATTATTATTTATATATGACATGGCCTTTTTATTATAATTTAATATAAAACAATTGAAAATATAAAATAAAAACAAAAGGTGGTCGGACACTACCGTCGGCCACCATCAACCACCGTAAATGGAGGTCGTTCAGTCCCAAATTTCATGGATTCGTTAGTCTCGACCCCCTAAATCTAAATTTGATGGTTGTTTCATATAAAATAAAAAGCAAAAGGTGGTCGGATGCTACCGTCAGCTATCATCAACCACTGTAAATGGAGGTTGTTCAGTCTCAAATTTCATGGATCGGTTAGTCGCGACCCCCTAAATCTAAATCTAATAGTTGTTTCACCAGAAAATGTGTTCCAAATCCCATGATTTTTGATTGAAATGTTTCTCCTTCCTCACTTTCAATCTCCAATTCGTAGACTTCAGAGCAAGTTTGGCAAAATGGAGGCCGGATTTGGACTCAGGGTGTCGAGACAAAGCGACCCATGAAATTTGGGATTGAACGACTACCATCTACGACGGTCGACGGTGGCGTCCGATCACATTTTATTTTTATTTTATTTTTTTTTTAATTTTTTTATATTAAATAATAATAATAATGACACATCATACAAATATAATAATAATAATAATAATAATAATAAAATAATTTAGAATGATCAAAATAGGAGCAATTGAAAAGTTCAATGAGTAAATTAGAAAAATTGAAAGTATAATAAGTAAAATAGGAGAGAGTATAGATCAGTGAGGACTGGTGTAATTTACCCTTGTTGTTTTGTTGAAGACAATTCTTGGAAGCTGCTTGTTGTTGAGATTTAAAACGTTTAATTTCATCACGTTTTTGAAGTGATGCAACTCCTCATTTTTTAATTGGCCATTATGAATTAATATACATAAATTAATTTTTTTATAATCACCATTATTCTTTACATTAACGTATTACTTTGAATAGAATATTATAGGATAAAGTAGACAAATGGTCTCTTGACTATAAGATATTATTTTATTGAGTCTCCCGATTATTAAAAGTTATAAAGTGATCTCTCGACTATAGAGAGTTGCTTTGTTGAGTCCCTTGACTAATAAAAGTTACAAAAATGGTCACTTGATTATTCTTTATGTTCCAAACTCATCCTTTTTTGTTAAAAAACTAGCAATGTTTAAGCTAAACGTTAACATGCAGACTGAGATATGATAGTCGTTTAAGTTTATGAGATCAGATTTTATCATATCTCAATCAGCATGTTAACGTCCAGCTCAGATTATTGCCAATTTTTAACGAAAAAGGACGAGTTTGGAACATAATTAATAGTCAGATGACCATTTTGTAACTTTTAATTGTCGAGTGACTCAACGAAACAACTCTCCATAGTTTGGGATTATTGTGTAACTTTTAATAGTTGAGTGACTCCAACTCTCCATAGTTTGAGACTATTGTGTAACTTTTAATAGTCGAATGACTCAATAAAATAATATCCTATAGTCGGGGAACAATTTGTGTATTTTACCCAATATTATAAAGGCTTGTCATAGGATTTATTTTATTTCATTCATTTAATATAAAACAAACTCTTAATCTTACTTAAAGAATTTAATATTATATCTCACTAAATTAATTAGTAGTTAATAATAGACTAGAATTTCATTTAAAAGAATAATAAACTTAAATTATTATAAGTATATATTAATTCTATCATTTCACAACCATATGATAAAAATGCCATTAAGCAATTTTTGGTTGCATTTTTACCCTTTTAAAAATATAAAAATAATTATTAAATACTAATTTGATTAATATTGATTTTGTTATATTTTATTAAAGATTGTTAATTCAAATGAATTTAAGTGTATCTATGTAGTTAAGTGATCGTTGTTATATTTTGAAGTTTCGGGTTTGAGCATCACGCATGCAGAGATATGAACATTCATTGCCAAATTATTGAGAATATTTAAATAGATACTACCTTATATTCATCTCATATTTATATTAAAAAAAATCATAATGCCCTCTTCATGTTAGTATTAACTAGGCGTTCAAAGATTAACTATTTAGTTAATAATTTGATTTATTTTTCAAAAATCATGTTAAAGGGTATGGATTCTAATTTAATTGATATTAAATTATTACAAAATTTTGAACGTACGAATGTGTATATCTTTCTTTAAGTAAGTATTTGTTAAATGGTTACAAGATACAAATTTTTCATGTATTTTTTATGATTTTTATATTTATAGTGAATTATTTATTTTTTTTCTTATTATAAATATAATCAAAATCGAATTAAGTTAAATCGCATCTCTCACTTATAATTTATTAAATATTAATTTCTTTTTAACTACTTTTCCCCTTATAAATTTTTAACATAAATCTAAAACAGAAGCTTCCGGGCTTATTTGATATGATTTAAGCTAAAATTTATTTGTATTAATTAAGGCAACTTTTGTCAGAGCATATCAACAACAAAATCTTATATGGTTTTAATTAGGGACGGATTTAGAGTTTCATGTTAGAAAAATAAATTTATAAAATTTTAAATATGAAAGAATTTATAAAATTTTAGTGGGTAAAAACATATTTTCAATAAATTTTTTTTTTTTTAAATATATAAGAATTTAAAATTTTTATACCTTGATTTTAGTACGAGTAAAAGACAATGAATTTGATATGAATATTAAAAAAAATCAGGGTTTAGTTAAACAACGAAGGAATGTGAACGCGCGTGTTAGTTGGGAAGGATGATGACATAATGCATTAGTTGGGAAGGTTGTTGCAATGATTAATTCGATTATCAATAGAATTGAAATAATTAATTTTTTTAATTATTAATTAAATTGAACAGAGTTGGATTATTTCGAGTTCAATTAATCAAATCTTTTATAATTTTTTTAGTTAGCTTAATTTATGTTTAATAGAGAGAGTTTTGGCATCAAGGTTGGGTATAAACTTCAAAGTTTCAGATAGTGAGGCCCTCGCCCGACTGGAGGCAGCGGAGGCAGGTGATGGATGTTGAATCCCATTGGCAGTTCCTTAAAGGTAATATGTTGAATCCCATTGGCAGTTCCTTAAAGGTAATATGTTGTGTGTGTGTTTTCATTTTCCATGAGTTTGACTGCTATTTCTTGGAATGTAAGGGGAATGGGGAAGGGTGAGAAGATAAGATCCATTTGCCGTGTAATCTCCTTGAGTAAAGCAAATGTTGTTTTTATATAAGAGTCAAAAATGACCGCCGAGAAACCGATGGTGCTGAATAGGTTGAAAGGAAGGAAATTCCACGATCTAGTTTGGGTCCCCTCGGATGGAACCTCGGGTGGGTTAAGCTCCATGTGGGAAAAAAATTGTTTCGTGTTGGAAAGGAAAGTTTTACTGGAAAGACCTGTTGTGCTGGTGGGTTGTCTTTTTCAGCATAATTTGAAGGTCGGTCTGATCAACGTATATGCTCCGAACGACCCTGTTGAAAGGCGAGAGTTTTTTTTGACAATTAGATGAGCTCATAGCGAACATGGGGTTGCCAGTTTTAGTCGGAGGTGACCTCAATACTGTAAAGTGTGAAAAGGAGAAACGTGGAGGGCCGGTAAATCAAGCTGCAATGAAAACATTTGCAGATTTTATCCGATCAAGAAATTTGATTGATTTGCCTCAAGAGGGCAGTCCCTATACCTAGTTTAGAGGAGGTGAATCAGTCTCGGCCAGTCGCTTAGACAGATTTCTGGCCTCTCCAGAAGTCTTTCATAGTTGTCCAAAGTTGGTGCAGTGTACCTTACCAAAGAGCTTGTCCGACCATAATCCGTTACTGTTGAAAGATTTCAGTGCGGTGTGCGGCCCCAGACCGTATACGTTAATTGGGTTGATGACAGCGGATACGTGGATATGGTAAAATCAGCGTGTGAAGGAAAAACAAAAAGAAATATGTGTTGTTTTAAGGGACATGAAAGCAGTCACCAAAACATGGACGAAAGATGCAGAAGGAAAGGACAAAGATACAGTTCCAGAGATTGAAGCTAGAGTGGAGATTTTGGAAGCAATGGCTCTCTCAAACGGTTATGAAACAGACGTTTAAAAGGAGCTTCGTGCTTTGAAACAAAAGTTATGGGTTTTGCATAGGAGAGACGAGAGACAATGGCTGCAGAAGTCAAGGCTGAAGTGGTTCAAAGAGGGGGACCGTAACACACAGTTTTTCCACATGACTGCATCCCTTGGAGGCCGGACAAATTTCATATCAACCATCCGAGTGGGTGACATGCTGATTAAAAACTTCAATCAAATCTCCAAAATATTTTAGGATCATTTCAGACGTTTTTACAATAATGTTAACACCTTGCCAGCGAGGAATTTTGATGTGCCCTTGAGCAAATTAAGCTCGGCATCAAAGAACAATATCGAATCCCCGTTTACGGAGGAGGAAGTGTGGTCAGCCATACAGTCAGCAGATGGTACAAGAGCGCAAGGACCAGTCAGGTTCAATCTAGACTTCTTCAAGAAATTTTGGCCCGTGCTTAAATATCATATTATGTTCCTATTCAGAGAATTCTATAGTGGGAGAATTTGTGACAGATCTTTTAACCATTCACTCATCATGCTGATCCCTAAGAAGGCAGCCCCTGAGGTGTGACTGATTTCAGGCCTATTTCGCTAGTAGGAAGTATTTATAAAATCCTGGCCAGAGTCATGTCCAAGCAGTTGGCAAGGTGTATAAACGAAGCAGTGGGAGACTCTCAGTTCACGTTCATTGTTGGAAAACATATCTCTGATTGTGCTCTCATAGCACACAAGCTCATTGATGATCTTTCTCGAAGGAAAAAGGAGGCGGTGATGTTAAAGGCTGATTTTGAAAAGGCCTACGATTTGGTGGATTGGGAGTTTCTCGACCTGATTATGAAATCTATGGGTTTTGGGAAAAGATGGCAGACTTGGATGAGCTTATGTATTTCGACAACTTCTATCTCAGTGCTTGTGAATGTGTCCCCAACAGATAAATTCAAGATCAAGAAAGGGCTTCGCCAGGGGTGCCCCTTATCCCCACTACTTTTCAATCTAGTGGGTGAGCTTTAAGTAGGTTGTTCAGGAAGGCGGAAGAAGTTGGTTTGATTAAAGGGGCCAGAGTGGGAGCCAGCCAAGAAAATGTGTCGCATATCCAGTTTGCCGATGATATAATTTTGTTCTTGGAGACCAATTTAGATTCGTTGAGAAACGTGAAGATGATCTTAAGATTGTTTGAACTCGCTTCTGGGTTAAGTTTGAATTTGTCAAAGACAAAACTTTATGGCATAAATTTAGAAGAAAATAGAGTGGTATTGTGGGCTGGAATCATCATATGTTATTGGGATAAGTTCCCCTCTATGTACCTCGGTCTCCCGCTAGGCCATGCTAGGAATTCATCGGAGATCTGGCAACCAGTGGTGAACAAATTTCTCACTCACTTAGATGGGTGGAAAGGTAAACTGCTTTCTTTTGGAGGTCGCTTAACTCTGGTAAAGTATGTTCTCTCCAACTTGTCGATCTATTATTTGTCGGTATTTCAGATGTCGAAATCAGTTGCTTCCAAATTGACTAGAATTGTTGCAACTTTTCTGTGGGGTCCCGATCCGATCGAGTTATCCATTGGGTCAAATGGGATAGTGTATGTGTTCCAAGATCGCATGGTGGCCTAGGTCTTTCTGACTTGAGGGTCCAAAATCGGTTTCTTCTTAATTAATGGCTTTGGAGATTTGGCCAAGAATCGTGTAGCCTATGGAGGAAAGCTGTGTGTCCGAAGTTGGGTTTTAACCAGTCCGAATTGATACCGAGCATTGTTCCTTCCAAAAAGAGCCTGTGGGTATGGAGGAATATCATTGTCCCGCTTTCCACTCCGGAGGATATCTTTAAAAAATAAAACAGGTTTTCATTTGTTGAAACTTAAGCAAAATGCTTATAAAGTGATAAAGAAATCACATTGAACTTGTATTTAATTAAAGGATTAAATCAATATATATACAAGGAAAAACTCTCACAACTACTCTAACAACCTTCTAACAGACTCCTAACAGCCTTAACCAACCTTAACCGACTACCAACCATCTTGCTCAACATGCATGCAACAACCCAACTATCATTGCAGATCATGCACGCAACTATACTTCAACATTCTCCCCATCCTTCTCAGTTGTCTCATTATCGGCTGCAACAACTTGAACTTTCTGTCGAAACAAATCGTGCGCAGACTTTACCAAGGGCTTAGTCAACCCATTAGCTATTTGATGCTTTGCAGGTACATAGTTTACCTGAACAACTCCACAAGCCACTTTCTCACGCAAAAAATGTATATCCAACTTTATATGCTTAGAACGAGCATGGAGCACTGGATTAGCACTCATGTCAATAGCACTTGTGTTGTCACTCCACATGATTGGAATTGTAGACACCAATTCACCCATATCAGCTAACAAGGACCTGACCCAAACTACTTCAGACATCGTTTCAACAATGCTACGATTCTCAGCCTCAGTTGTAGACCGATCCACCGTCTTTTGCCTTCTAGCACTCCAAGAAACTAGATTACATCCAAGAAACACACATGACCCCGACACTGACCTACGACCATCTACATTACTAGCCCAATCAACATTAGCAAAAGCAGTAACACAGCAAGCTTCAGACACAGAGGATGACCAAAACACCAAGCCATGATCAACTGTCCCACTCAAATAACGCAAAATTCTCTTAACAACAAGCCAATGACCATTACAAGGACGATGCATATATTGAGCCACACGATTAACACTAAAGGCTATATCCGATCGTGTATGGCTCAAATACAACAAGGACCCAACAATACTTCGATACATCAAATCATCTGCAAGTGGCTTCCCAGCATCACAAGTCAACTTTGGTGAAACCACCATTGGCGTAGGCGCATGCTTAGTATTGATCATACATGTACTCCAATAGACGTCGAACAAACTTGCATTGACTTAAGGCCAACCATTCAGGCATCCTACGAACCTCAACACCAAGAATGTAGCCAAGCTCACCCAAGTCTTTCAAAGAAAAATTCTGGCCAAGAAACTGAACAACATCATTAATAGCATCACGAGACTCACCTGTGATAATAATATCATCTACATACACTAAGACCAACGTACGAACTCTATTAACTCGGCGAATAAACACGACCCATCAGCTGATGTACCACAAAACCCTATCTCCAACAAAAATTGGCGTAGCTTGGAATACGACATGTATGGGGCTTGACATAGCCCATACAATGCCTTCTTTAACTTACATACCAATCGAGACCCATTACTAGCTACTTGTTCAAACCCTGGTGGTTGCACCATGTACACTTATTCTCCAAGCTCACCATTAAGAAATGCATTATTGAAATCAACCTGTCTTAAACTCCATCCACGAGCCACAACTAGTGATAATACAACATTTTCTGTGGCAATCTTTACCACTAGGCTAAATGTATCATTGAAATCATGATCGGGTAACTATGAGTATCCTCTAACCACAAGATGAGCCTTGTGTCTCAAAACATAACTATCAGCTTTATACTTAATCTTGAACAACCACTTACACCCAACTACTGCTCGCCCTTCTGGCAGTGGCTCAAGTACCCACGTACCATTCCTCACCAGTGCATTATATTCAACCAGAACTGCTTCCTTCCACTGCGGATTTTGAAGAGCTTGACAAATCGTACATGGCTCACTGTCACTTCCTTGAATTTGAGTATGTTGAGTTAATCGATCGAAGGAATCGACCAAGAGGGGGTGAATTGGCAATTAAAATTTTGTTGGAAGCTTTTGCAGAAAATTGAAAGTAATTGCACAACGATTTAGAGTGGTTCGACTTTATCAACCAAAGTCTACGTCCACTACCTTAACTATCCACACTAAGGATTTTTTAACAAATTCACTAATTTGTTCTTTCTTTTGAGGCCAAAGAGATAACCTTACAACTCCCTCAAGAATATACCCTAATTCTTACGAACACTCTTTCTCAAAAAGAAGATTACAAATTTGCAAACTTACAAGGAAATCCTCACAAGGTAGATTGTTTGCACAATTCTAGAACAAAGAAAAGAACACTAAAAATTAATACAATTGAGTACAAGTAGTGTTCTTGAAAGAAAAATGAATATTGAATGAAAGATAGGCTTGAAATGCTCAAACTTGAGGTTTGATGCTTTCTCTTTGATTCTTGATGTTTCTTATTGTTGATCAATGGCTTCTAAGCTTGTTTAAATACTCTTTCAATTGATTCTGAACGTTGGGGATGATTTGGATTCAATAGAGCCGTTTAAGTGTGAAAACAATTAATAAAATCAGTTGGGAGCGTCAGTGCATCGATGCATACACAAGGAGCATCGGTGCATCAAGTGTAAAAATCAAATATTTTGACCGTTGGAACACTTAGTACATCGGTGCATCAAATGTAAAATTCAAATATTTTGACCGTTGGAACACTTAGTGCATCGGTGCACTAAGTGTGCATCAATGTATAAAATGCATTCAATGTTTTGAATAAGCCTAAGTGCATCGATGCTTGGTGTGTGCATCGATGCATAAAATGCATTTGATGTTTTCATTAAAACCTGAGTGCATCGATGCATAGAGAGTGCATCGATGCATAAAATGCATTCGATGTTCAATTTATTCATTGGTGCATAGATGCATGGATTGGTGTATCCCTTTGAAAAATTGATTTTAGGCTTTATTTCGGTTCAAAATACTTTGTGAAAATTGTTTCATAAATATATTAAGTATAAAATACAATTTTACACATTTAGTAAGGTTTGAAATTGATCTTGAAAGACTTGGAGTAATAATTTGATATTCGATTAATTGAATCGAATATACTTATAAAAATCTTTGTAAAATCTTAAAATTCATTTATACTTAGTTTGCTATATCGAAACATAAAAATATTTTCAACAATCTCCCCTTTTTTGATATAACAAAACACTTGAGTAATTTTAAGATTTGTTAAAAAATTTATTTTTGAAATCAATTTGAAAAGTTGAAAATTACTCCCCCTTACTATGATACATCTTCTCCCCCTTTTTGTTAAATAAAAAAGACTCTAAACAATTTAGCCAATTTATTTAATAATAAGATTAAGCTGCTAAGATCACAATTAAAAGAGAGATTAGCCATTAGTTTCATAATCAATATTCTTATCGAATGTGAAATGGTAAATTGGTCATATATGTCTAATGATGCAAAAATAAGAAAATTCAAACCAAACTAAACATATATGCATTAAGTTCTTATAGCCAAAACAACCAAAAAGTAATCCAAACATTAAATCATCCAAAATAAACAATCCAAAAACATCAAAATCAATCTAAGTTTTAAATCCAAGAAAGCATAACAAGGAAAAATCTACTCCATCAGAGGATCGGGAGGAGGAGGAAATCGGGCTTGCATCTCAAGAGAGAGAGCATCCATTCGTGTAAGCATCTGCCATTGAAACTCCATTTGTTGAGCTTCCAAAGTGTCTAAGCGATGATTCACCGCTTCGTTGTTAGCAATCAAATGGGATTCGATGGAAGCAAACCGTAGATCAAATGTCTCCAAAAATGAACGAAAATATGGAGGCACTTGATCCTCTTGTGGTGCCGGCGCATTGTCGGGATCGTCAATGTTTTGAAATAATCCTTGAAGCTCAGGATCATCATCTGCAGCCAGTGTCGGAGGAGGAGGAGGGGCACGAGAAGAGCTAGGAGCAGGAGGTGCTCGTGAAGAACTCGCTCCCGGAGTTTGCTTAGAGGGTCGAAAGACCCATTGACCAGTTTCCTCGTCCTGTTTCCAATCAGCTTTCTTCAACGAGGTGAGATTGAATTGGTTTTAAAGAGGAATGAGATTGTCAAGAGAGACGTTAAGACCTAGGGCATTTTGGGTTTGACATGATTTAGGAAACGAAATTAGAAATGTAACCTGCAATTTTGAAACACATGTATGCAAAATAATCAATCCCAAAACTCAATTGAGTCCGCAATAATTCAAGGTTCTCTAAACTGAATCCTAATGGGAAAAGTTTTTGAAAACTATTTGAAAATAACATTTAGAGATATTATAATTCATATAGTTTTTTTATGAAAATAATACAATTAAATAAAAAACAATGACTTTCAAAAATATCATTTTTTTTTATTTCGAAAATTCAAAGACAATGTTGAACAATTGCTTGTTTTTGACAAAATTGATTGTGAAATCTAGTTTAGAAACATAATATAATCAATGCCCGATATAATGTTCATCCTAGAATTAATCAAAACTAGTTCTAAGTTCAAAAATCAATAAAACAGAGGTTTTGAAATATTACCTTGAAAATTTCGAATTTGAGAGGAATGTGATGTTGTTTTGCACGAATTAATGATATAAGCAGGATTTGGAGTTGAAGAACGATTGAAATCGGTCAAAAATATATTGATTGAGACAAATGGAGAGTTGAGAGAGAGAGAGGTGGCAAAGAGGTGTTTTGAGGGTTTTGAGACAAAGAAGAGAAATAGAGTTTTTAATCAAAACCCAATGGATGCATCGATGCATGGCCTTGTGCATCGATGCACATTCAAGGAGTGCATCGGTGCACCTTCATGGTGTAACGATGCACATTCAAAGGGATGCATCGATGCACTGTTAAGTGTATCGATGCATTAAGAACA